TAATTCTTAATTTATGAGATCTTATAAATAAGTATAATACACATGAAATCACATAATATTCAAGCAATTCCTCTTTATTGCTTAGATGTAGGTTACAATAGCTGACCCTAACTATTACATCATTATGCTAGTGCTTAGTCTAGAAACACAGGTGTTACATGTAGCTGTTGCTTGATAGCACTACATGGAGGCCTCGCTTATCCCTTGGCTAGATGCTTATGAATTGAGTTGTCCTAAGGACAAAACTAATTGACCTTGATTTATACCAATAAATAGAGCATCACCTCATCCATGAGGAGGATTTGACCCTGAGGCATCAGCCTCCATGATGCTCATACACTTCCACTCCTCGCCAAGATGGTTTTCTCTGGCTAGGAGAAAAACCATCCCATCTCGTATAACGACCTAATTTAATCGTAGGAGCCTACTCCAACAGTACAATACATGTGGCATTTCTAACGACTTTCTCTTATGATGATAGCTCGGGATCTCACTAAGGACTCGGTAACGGCACCATTCCTTATTTACGATCTAGATACGACTTCGAGATCCACACATACACACACACACACACACACACACACACACATATATATATATATAAGGGATGCTTCACTTGAGATTAAAAAAATACAAATCTTAAGATTCAACCTCAGCCACATATTTCTCATTTGCCGCTCTAACGCTCCAGCATACCGTCAACAGCGGGTTATGCCTAGTTATAAATGATTATGTGGCAGAGAGGTATAATCATATATGATTATACATGTTTGTACGTATATGTCTAATCATAAATGATTATATATATATAAGCCTGTTCACATATTGAGTAATCATATATGATTATCACGGTAGGTGGCAGAAGAGGTGCGATAATAAAGGTGGTGGTGGTATAAGTGATGGTGGTGGTGGTACTGGTGGTGGCGGTGACGATTGTGGTGGTGGGGAAGGTGGTGGATGTGAAAGGAACGAGTAACGCTACATAATAAGTTATGATTATAAGTGACTCGGCATGCAGTACGTCGATGGATTAGAACGGCATATGTGAAATATGTGGCTGTAGTTGAATCTCAAGATCTCTATTTTATTTTGAATCTCATAATCAACTCATCATTTTTCAACACCAAGAACATCAATCTTCTCCAAATGGTGCGTCTAGGCCATATATAAGCTTAAAAAAGATATAACGATTTTATTTTATTTAGTTTGTTTGTTTTTTGTATGACTACCGATGAGCACAATCAACAGTTGTACGGACTACTTATGAGCACAATCAGCAGTCATATGGATGCTAATGAGCACAATCAGCAGTCATATTGATTGTTGATTGCTCATCAGCAGTCCATATGTCTCCTGATTGTGCACATACACAGTCCATATAACTGCTGATTGTACATACATGGAACTTTTAAAAGTAAATAAAAAAATGTCAAATCTTTTCTTAAGCTTAGATTTGGTTTAGATGCACCATTTAGACAAGAATGGCATTTTTGGTGTTGAAAAATGATGAGTTAATTATGAGTTCGTAAGTTCTCACAAATCTTTTAGTACGTTAGAGGGTTAGAGCAGTAGATGTGAACTATGTGGTTGGAATTGAATCTTAGTATTTCTATTTTGTTTTGAATATCAACGCAACTTTTATATATATATATATATATATATATATATATATATATATATATATATATATATATATATATATATATATATATATAGGTTTGGGTTAGGTTCAACAAAGAACCATTTTAAACCTAAGAACTAAAGAACCAACCTTTTCTCAACTTTAAGTACAAGTTTTTCATTAATCAAACTAATAGATATATATATATATATATATATATATATATATATATATATATATATATATATATATATATTCGGTTGGGTTGGGTTCAACAATGAACTATTTTTAACCTTATAACCAAAGAATCAATCTTTTCTCAACTTTTAGAACAAGTTTTTCATTAAAAAAACTAAAAATAAAGATATTCATAAGTTTTTATCTTTCATCCATTGAAATCAAATTTGATTAAAAAAATTTGATCTGTTCAGATTCACATTGTAAATTTGTTCAGATTTACATTGTGAATCTCTATAAATTCACAGCCTATCAAATCTGTGCAGATTGATACTGTGAATTTTTGTAGATTCACATTGTGAATTTGTGTGTATTCATATAGCGACTTTATAAAAAATTAATCATTTATAGTGCAGATTCATGATGTGAAATTGAACAGATAAAAAAGCAATATATATATATATATATATATATATATATATATATATATATATATATATATATATATAAAATTTGATATCAATGGATGGAAAGATAAAACTTTATGAATTTCTATATTTTTAAAAATTTTTGTCGATAAATAATAAGATCTAAAACCTAAAAAATAATGGTTTCTTGGTTATAAGGTTTAAATTGTTTCCTTATTGACCTTTTACCTATATATATATATATATATATATATATATATATATATATATATATATATATATATATATATATATAGAGAGAGAGAGAGAGAGAAAGAGAGAGAGAGAGAAAGAGAGAGAGCTACGTTCAAGTGTTCAAAGTAATTATTATATAATTGTATGTATAAATATGGGTCAATCAAAATTAAATAAAAATTTAAATAATTAAATAAATAAACAATGGTATTTTAGTATTTTGATAAATAGCTTCCACAAATAGTCCCTGTAATGATGCTAGCATTCAATTTTAACCTAATTTCTTTTCTTATATATAGCCATCATTGTGTTCATCACCTGACTAACAGATCGGGCAAAGATGGAAGAAGGCAGGCGAATGGAATATAATGAGAGGGGAACACGAACACAATAAAGGGGTGCAAAGGGTTGCATTTGGTCGATCGATTTGCGAGGAGGCCATCTTCGGAATCGACGAGGCCGAAGCAGTGAAGTTGGGAAGAATCTGTGAAGCCCTCTTCCTGCTTTGATGGTGATGTGTGAAGGGGAAAAGAAAGCATCGACTTTGTAGATCGATGGTTCGGTGGTGGCTAAGAGATTGCAGGGAGTGAGCGCTTCCAGTGTTTGGCCGACAATCCTTAGTTGCTTCTTCTCGTTGTCGACAACAAAAAAAACCGGGGAAAAGCAACAATAGAAAATGGTGGTGAAGAGATTTTTGGTGGCTAGTGTGGATTCAACAAAATAAGGTGAATGTGAGTCTTCCATGGGAATTGAACAGGTTCAACAACACATGTAACCTTCTTGCTCTGTTATTGTTATTATTGTTATTATTTTGTGATTTAGAATCCCCATTATGATGATGAAACAAGCAGAAGGGTCGAGCAAGGGGGTGTTTGTTTGATTTTTATTTTGTTTTTCTTTTCTTTGTTTAGACAAAAAAAATCAGTTGAGTGTTGATGGATTTTGGGTTTGATTGTTCTTGATAGAAATGGATAAATGGAATGGATTTCTGGGGTTAATGTTTTACAGAAAATTATTTGTTTTCCTTGACGGAATTCGATGTGGTGTTTATTGCTTGAAATTGCCATGGAAAGAAGATGAAGCAATAAAAATGAGTGGTTGTATTTTCCATTTGCAGGTATACATGAAATCAAGAACAAGAATGTTCTTGTTTTCTTGGCTAGGAACGAAACGAGAGATATCAAAGCAAAATATGGTACATATGAAACTTACAACATTCTACTGGAATGGAATCTTGAATTCTGATTCTATCATAATAGAATCTTGAAGATGAATATTGTATGGGATAAAGATGAACAATAACCACCAATCTTCCAAAAAGAATGGATTATTCTACCAGAATAATATACAATATAATGAAAAAAATATATGTAATAGTATATTCTGGTAGAATGATTTATATATTGTGTTTTTTTTTTGTTATTAATAAGTGAAACATTCTCATAGAATAGTATATATATATATATATATATATATATATATATATATATATATATATATAAATTCTTTTCTAAGAATGTAATGAATTTTTTTTAACTTGTATCCAAAATTGTATTATTCTTCAAGAAGTTCATTAAATCAAAATATGTATATTATGTCAGAATGTGTATTCTTGTATGGTTCAATCATATTTATTATTTTTCAATATATTGATAAACATATCCATACAATCAGATTTTTAAAATTAATAGAATCTATTTTCCCTTAAAATATACAATTTTCCTTTTTTAAATTTATGTTAATTGACTAAAATACCCTTAGAATGAAATTAGATGACATTTTTTAATTATCTCTAATTTAATAATATGTATTATTCTCTATCCAAAAATACTTAGTTTGAATAGAATAACTAAGCATATATATATATATATATATATATATATATATATATATATATATATATATATATATATATATATATATATATATATATATATATATGTGTGTGTGTGTGTGTGTGTGTGTGTGAGATTCAAATTTTGTAACACTAAAAACCGCACTGCACTAAAACTTTAGGGTTTTGTAAAACTAAAAAACTATCATCCATTTTTATTTCAATTTTGATTTATATTATATTTTGGTTTTATCTTTTTATTTTATTTGCGATTTGATTTTTGCCCACCCTACCACACCCCCATCAACAACCATTACATCCTTATTCAAAACATTCCAATCAATTTCAATTAAAACAAAATTTGACTTTTTTTTTTTAAGTTGGACAAAATACAAGATAAACTGGAGTAATTGGCAACATTTTTTATAGGGAACCGATTCGTACACAACAAATTTTCTCCATATATAACAATTTGTTTTTTAAATTGTTGTATTGTACAATTCTATTAAGCATGAAATGTTGTGTACGGATAAAAACTGTTTTGTACGAATCACTTCATTTTTAATATATCTTATCGCTTATCAATACATACAACTTAGTTATTTAACGTACCATAATTAACTATTTAGATGTAATAAACCTATTTGTTATCAGTATAGTAAGATTTTTACCAATTTACGAAAACATAAAACCACGAAAAATGATTTTAAAAAAGAATAGACTTACCAGGATGAGTACAGTCCTTGAAAATAGATTCCACCATAGCCCTAACTTCATCTTCCCTAATTGGTCTTAGAGCTTCAAGCCTCTTCCGTGAAAACAATTCAAGTGTACATACTTTCCGAACCTTCACATAATGTGGTCCATAATCCGCCCAAATCAAATCCTGCCCTTCTCTGCTAAACTTCGCCGCCGATCTGCTCCGGTGCCGATCCGCCATTTGTTGGTCCTTTTCCTTCAGTACTTCTTTTGCTAACTCACTGTTGGAAACGATAACGTTTAGAGTTGATCCAAACCAAACGGAGATGATCGGACCATATTGCTGTGCCCACTCTGCGTAGCAGCGGAACCTGACCGGTTTGACGTCGTAGAGGTTTCCGACGATTGGCCATGGGCGTGGGCCCGGTGGGAGCTTGAATCGGCGTTTTTGGTAGAATATGTAACTAATGTAAGCTAGGAAGAATAAAGGGAAGAAAAGAGACAGGAGTAGGAGGGTCATGGTGGCACACGGTGGTGGAGGGAGGGCAATCGAAATGTTAACGGAGGAGTTGCTGAAGGGTAATTTGGTTTTAAATCGGTGGAGATTGGATAATATTTTCAATATATGAATTTCAACATGTACAAACGTTACATAGATTTTGGATCTGGTTTCATGCTTGGATCAAACGTTATACACATTTGGGATTTGGCTTCATGTTCGAATCAGACGTTACATGGATTTAGGATCTGCTTTCATGTTTTAATAATGCTTTTCCTGCAAAAACACTAACACTATAATTTGATGATACGGTGGGATATAATCACATGAATGACAACCTAGCTGGGTCTTACAAATATGAGAATCATATATTATACAAATATATGAGTTTATTAAAAAAATTAATATCAAGTTTTTAAACTAAACAATTTTCAAAATAATACTTTTATATGAATACAAACACTATCATTCTATGATGAATAAGAAGTTAAAAAATAAAAAAAAAAAAAAAAAAAAAAAAAAAAAAAAAAAAAAAAAAAACTATTAACATATTGTAAATAAATGTTAGAATCACAAATTTTTAAATGTTTTCTTAAACACAAAATATAAAACATTAAAAATGTAAAATAGAATTAAAAAATGATGATTTTAGTTTTTAAATATTAGAAACTAGGTGTGAAACCCGTGTATTACACGGGTTGATTAAAAAAGTTAAATATAAGGTGTAAATATTAAGTATTTTTTAAAGTAAAATTTTTAAAAAGATATAAATGAATTGATGAATAAGTAATTCAATCTATACTAATAAAAAAATTATTATTATGTTTTAAAAAAGCGTGTTGAATATGAATGTGTAAAAATTAACTATTTTTTAAAGTAAACTTTCGAAATAAATACAATAAATAGAATAAACCACAACAATCATTTATGTAATTTGTCTTAATTAATCTATACTAATAAAACTAATTAATATAAATTCACAAATGGAATTCATTAATATATTCATAGAAATAAGAATTCACAAATGGAAGGTTTACTATATACATTAACTCACATTAATTACTATGATGTAACATTTAATAGGTAGAAATTGAATAAAAAAAGGAAAAAAAATACAAAAATAACAAGTGGAAAAAAATAATTTTAAAATTATAAGAAAATAACATGTGTCAATTTTAATAAGAAGTTGATATTTGGCAAAATTATCTTTATTTATTAGGGTAGATGTGAAAGAGGATTTAAAAAAAAAAAAAAAAAAAAAGAAGGTCGTGTACATGGGTTTTTTCTTAACTAAACTAATCAGTCAAAAACATTATGTTTGAACATGTTTGATGGGTATGAAAGAAACATTAATGTTCAAATCAATTACAACTCATGTTTAAAATTTGATATGTTTCCAATTGTTGAAACTAACATCACTTTTTATAAAAATTATCAACGATATGTAAATTTTGTATTTAACCTACAACATTGACAAAAACTAAATTCTCGACTTTGAATAAATGAATTACATGGCTATTAAATAACTAAACCAAAAACACATAATATAAGAATTACATGATTGAACCATTAGCTGCTAGTTTTACAAGGTGCTTGTTTACCCCATATAAATGTTAAATTAAAGAGATATATATATTTATGTTATCCAGCAACATCAACTTGAAAGTAGACACCATAGCCGCTAGTTTTACACAATCCTCTTCTTCAAAAGACATTAGTTGGTTTTGGAAGAACCTATAAGCGGAGAATATATAAGTTTTACTAATAAATCAGAGCAAAGAAATGATGATCTAAGTTGTAAATGGTTTCCGTTTATAACTAAGAACTGTTACTTGATCTTCGGGAATCATGTGGCTAATCAGATATCAATGAATTCAAGTAACATTAGAAAAGCGTTCAATGATAATCTAAACCTTCATGGTTAGATATTGATGACATCGATCTAAACAACTATAACATATAACTCATAAAACAATAATCTTCATGTGTATGAAAACACACATTAATATATGTACAAAACAACTAAATTCGTGCAGATTTGAAAACCAATCGTATAAAATAATAATAACTTACGAACATAATATATATTTGTAGATGTATATAAACGCTGAAGAAGTATCTCCAATCGCTCAAGTCCACCTGTTCCTACAAGAATAATGAGAATTTTTTTGACTTCTCTTAGAAATAAAGCTTGAATGAAGTAATTACATACCACCTTAACTTCTCAATGTATATCATTATTCAAATTCAAAATTTGTAGCCATATTGAGATTTCCAGGGAACAAAGTTATTTGTAGTGACATTTAATCTTCAACAATCAAATTAATAGCTAGTTACCCAAATAAGTAAACACCATTTGCAAAATGACAAAAAAAATAAAATAAAATAAAATATTCTAACTTTTTTCAATCCCTTTCAAGAAATTATATATTTTCCATCTAATCAATCATAAAATCCTGAGAATTTTTTTTTAGTTTTTCCGGCTATATTATAAAAAAGGGAAAATGTCACAAAAAACACTCTTTTTACACAGAAATTCGACTTTGACACCGTGTTTTTTTTGTATCAATTTTGACACTGTGTTTTCCAATTTGTTACAATTCTGACCACTTAATCGGTTAACCAGGTTACATGGTGACGTGATGTAACGCCTCAAAATTACCGGTTAAAAATTTCATTTTTAATTTAGGTGAAAACGTAAAACATCATTACAAACATTCATGATAAAAATCCATGTCTGAAAAACCGGTGACATCATAATCAGAATTCAGAGTACATCCCAGAAAATCTGTAATTCGGAAACAAAAGGCGTATGTGTGATATGCTGCTACCGCGCCGGCTCCTTTCCCCTAGCTGAAAGGTACCTGAAATCAAAACTGCAAACCGTAAGCACAAAGCTTAGTGAGTTCCCCCATAATACCTCATACCATGCAAGCATATAACAAACAACATTCAACTATGAGATACGGGCCCTGCCCACACTCGTGAAGATACGGGCCCTGCCTACACTTCGCTATCTGGGAGATACGGGCCACGCCCACACTCGTGAAGATACGGGCCCTGCCCACCCTTCACTATCTGGGAGATACGGGCCTAACCCACACTCCACTCTCGCAGAGATACGGGCCTAGCCCACACTCAACCGCCAACTCATACCATACAAGTATCACACAGACAACAAGTATAGACAGCTCTATCATACTAGCATATATCATAATCACTCAATTAAGAGATACAGGCTCGGCCCACACTCTAATACTAACATCTCGTCTATACGGGCCGGCCTTGGTGCCTTAGACCCGTTACTACTGAAAGGAAACTCACCTCGAAATGGTTGCTGGTGTGTGTGGGAACCGACTGCCTGCTGCTGCTGCTGCTACTCCGGAAATCCTCCGGCTGTAATTCCCACATATACTCAATCAATCACTATTTACTGACTTTTTGGTGAAATGACCCTTTTACCCCCGACCATGCCCTAAGTCAAAGTCAGAGTCAACTTCCAGTTGACCCGACTCGCCGAGTTGGCTACCCAACTCGTCGAGTCCATGTCCAAACGACTATCCAGGATTTTGTTTCTACTCGTCGAGTTAGGCGTTGACTCGACGAGTTCTCCATCCAAACTGATGTTCAAGTCCTTCATCCTACTCGCCGAGTTGTATGAACAACTCGGCGAGTTCCTCTTCATCCGATGAACACTTATGCTACGACTCACCGAGTTGTACGAACAACTCGCCGAGTCCGATCTTGATCTAAGGAGATTGCCTTGAACTCGCCGAGTCAGGGCATCGACTCGCCGAGTTCCATTATGGGTGAGTTTTGGCTACCAACTCACCGAGTCCCTCCTGGACTCACCTCACGACTCGACATAACAAAAAGGGGGCAAACCCGGAGACTCGCGACTGGACTCGCCGAGTTAGATGAGCGACTCGTCGAGTCCGTTCCATGCAAGAGCTAAAAATGCAATTTTGCTCGAATCCAATCCATGTCATTCGTAGATCTGGGCTCCTAGAGCATGAATAATACTTAAAGTTTCCAACTTTACGTGTAAATTTCCATCTATGGGGTTTTTAGGGTTTGAAATGCACCAAAAGAGTAGATCTAAGGTTTATGTGCAATATGGGCTCATAAAGGTAGTGGATCTGAGCTCCTGGAGCTCAACTATGCTTGGATCAAGAGACCAATCGGCTTATTTCGGAACATTATGCACATACAAGCTTGGGGAATGGCTCAAGAATGTCTTAAATGAAGCAATAAGCATGGAAACAAGGGAAAAACGAGATATACCTCAATGGAACTGCTGAGAGAACACAATGGTGCTTGGATGGCTTCCCCTTCTTCTAGATCTACTTCCCTTCTTCTTCAAAACCTTCAAAAACACCAAAACTTACTTCAACTCTTCAAAGAACAAGCTTAAATGAGGGTTAGGAGCTCTGGGGGTGAATGGGGGCTGGCTTGGGGCGGATATGTTGCTTAAATAGGGTGCAAACCCCTGAAACTTAGGGTTTCATCCAACAGCGGTGACTCGCCGAGTCCAGGATATGGACTCGCCGAGTCGCCAACTTAAACGTGTCCCGGGTCTCGTCCCTACTCGGCGAGTCGGACCTATGACTCGCCGAGTCCAAGGCTTAAAAAGGAAAAATACTCAATTAAGATTTACATACCAGGAACCAGGCGCTACAAATCTCCCCCACTTATTTTAAACTTCGTCCTCGAAATCTGCTGCTCGATCCTGGAACAGCTCGGGGTAATGCTCCATCATTTCATCCACCGGCTCCCAAGTCCACTCCGAACCCTTCCGGTGCTGCCATTGCACCTTCACTAACTCCACCCTTTTGTTCCTCAAATCCTTCGACTTCCTGTCGAGGATCGCGACTGGGCGCTCAATGTAATTCAGGCTGTCGTCAACCTGAATATCCTCCAACGGCACCACTACTGAATCATCCACTAAACACTTCCGCAGCTGAGAGACATGGAAAGTGTTGTGGATCTGGTTGAGCTCGACTGGCAGCTCCAATCTATAC